CCCCCTCCACTCACAACACACAAACACACAGGCAACACTCACACCACTGGACAAACAACAACCTACACACTCTCACAGACGACACACACACGGACACACACGTGCACACGCAGACACTTCCAATCACACACCGCCAATTCAACACTCACAATCTCTGTCCGATCATCCAGCAATACACACGCACAAGCACACGCACACGCACACCCACACCCACACACAACGTCGATCCTCTACATCGGATAATCACACACCCACACATGGAATCACTTCAACCCGCAGATGACACGACAACAATCTGCATCTCCCAACACAAATCAACAATGTGAGAATGTGAACGCCACTCGACTCACGCATTCACGCTGTCACCAACTGACTCACACAATCGACCAATCACTCACACACTCACTCACTCACGCACTCTCCAACCCACTCGCTTCACACGGTCATCAACATGCACAAACACTGATGCATACATACAAACACACACACACACACCTGCAAATCGGCCAAAAACACAGGCAAGTCTACGCCCACATACACACGCACATTCACCACTGTCTCTCATCCATGTGCATGCAAGCAAATGCTGACCACTGCTTTCTGTCCTCTCTCCATCTCCCTCTATCTACAGGTCTGCAGTCATCACAGTCCACCATCACTCCGTCAGCCAGTGACACCAGTCAGCCCACTCCGTCTCACCAGCCCACATCCACGCCACTCCTCCTCCTCCACACCACAACCACACCACCAACACCCGGACTATCCGAGTCGCCCACAACTCCAACCACAACACTCACCACCGACATCATCGGAACCAACACCACTGTCTCCACCTTCACTGGTGAGTCAATCTCAGTTTCCTCTCATTCTCCACAAACCCGTCTCCCTAGTCATCATCATCCTCGTGCTGTGGCGAACTCTCATCCTCCCACTCGTACGCTCATTCAACCTCCTCCGTCTCCTCCTAATCCCTCCCTCAATCCTGATGACACCACTGCGCCAATCCACCTCACACACTCCAGTCAACTCTCAATCTCACACACTCCTCCTCCACTCACAACACACAAACACACAGGCAACACTCACACCACTGGACAAACAACAACCTACACACTCTCACAGACGACACACACACACGGACACACACGTGCACACGCAGACACTTCCAATCACACACCGCCAATTCAACACTCACAATCTCTGTCCGATCATCCAGCAATACACACGCACAAGCACACGCACACGCACACCCACACCCACACACAACGTCGATCCTCTACATCGGATAATCACACACCCACACATGGAATCACTTCAACCCGCAGATGACACGACAACAATCTGCATCTCCCAACACAAATCAACAATGTGAGAATGTGAACGCCACTCGACTCACGCATTCACGCTGTCACCAACTGACTCACACAATCGACCAATCACTCACACACTCACTCACTCACGCACTCTCCAACCCACTCGCTTCACACGGTCATCAACATGCACAAACACTGATGCATACATACAAACACACACACACACACACCTGCAAATCGGCCAAAAACACAGGCAAGTCTACGCCCACATACACACGCACATTCACCACTGTCTCTCATCCATGTGCATGCAAGCAAATGCTGACCACTGCTTTCTGTCCTCTCTCCATCTCCCTCTATCTACAGGTCTGCAGTCATCACAGTCCACCATCACTCCGTCAGCCAGTGACACCAGTCAGCCCACTCCGTCTCACCAGCCCACATCCACGCCACTCCTCCTCCTCCACACCACAACCACACCACCAACACCCGGACTATCCGAGTCGCCCACAACTCCAACCACAACACTCACCACCGACATCATCGGAACCAACACCACTGTCTCCACCTTCACTGGTGAGTCAATCTCAGTTTCCTCTCATTCTCCACAAACCCGTCTCCCTAGTCATCATCATCCTCGTGCTGTGGCGAACTCTCATCCTCCCACTCGTACGCTCATTCAACCTCCTCCGTCTCCTCCTAATCCCTCCCTCAATCCTGATGACACCACTGCGCCAATCCACCTCACACACTCCAGTCAACTCTCAATCTCACACACTCCTCCTCCACTCACAACACACAAACACACAGGCAACACTCACACCACTGGACAAACAACAACCTACACACTCTCACAGACGACACACACACGGACACACACGTGCACACGCAGACACTTCCAATCACACACCGCCAATTCAACACTCACAATCTCTGTCCGATCATCCAGCAATACACACGCACAAGCACACGCACACGCACACCCACACCCACACACAACGTCGATCCTCTACATCGGATAATCACACACCCACACATGGAATCACTTCAACCCGCAGATGACACGACAACAATCTGCATCTCCCAACACAAATCAACAATGTGAGAATGTGAACGCCACTCGACTCACGCATTCACGCTGTCACCAACTGACTCACACAATCGACCAATCACTCACACACTCACTCACTCACGCACTCTCCAACCCACTCGCTTCACACGGTCATCAACATGCACAAACACTGATGCATACATACAAACACACACACACACACCTGCAAATCGGCCAAAAACACAGGCAAGTCTACGCCCACATACACACGCACATTCACCACTGTCTCTCATCCATGTGCATGCAAGCAAATGCTGACCACTGCTTTCTGTCCTCTCTCCATCTCCCTCTATCTACAGGTCTGCAGTCATCACAGTCCACCATCACTCCGTCAGCCAGTGACACCAGTCAGCCCACTCCGTCTCACCAGCCCACATCCACGCCACTCCTCCTCCTCCACACCACAACCACACCACCAACACCCGGACTATCCGAGTCGCCCACAACTCCAACCACAACACTCACCACCGACATCATCGGAACCAACACCACTGTCTCCACCTTCACTGGTGAGTCAATCTCAGTTTCCTCTCATTCTCCACAAACCCGTCTCCCTAGTCATCATCATCCTCGTGCTGTGGCGAACTCTCATCCTCCCACTCGTACGCTCATTCAACCTCCTCCGTCTCCTCCTAATCCCTCCCTCAATCCTGATGACACCACTGCGCCAATCCACCTCACACACTCCAGTCAACTCTCAATCTCACACACTCCTCCTCCACTCACAACACACAAACACACAGGCAACACTCACACCACTGGACAAACAACAACCTACACACTCTCACAGACGACACACACACGGACACACACGTGCACACGCAGACACTTCCAATCACACACCGCCAATTCAACACTCACAATCTCTGTCCGATCATCCAGCAATACACACGCACAAGCACACGCACACGCACACCCACACCCACACACAACGTCGATCCTCTACATCGGATAATCACACACCCACACATGGAATCACTTCAACCCGCAGATGACACGACAACAATCTGCATCTCCCAACACAAATCAACAATGTGAGAATGTGAACGCCACTCGACTCACGCATTCACGCTGTCACCAACTGACTCACACAATCGACCAATCACTCACACACTCACTCACTCACGCACTCTCCAACCCACTCGCTTCACACGGTCATCAACATGCACAAACACTGATGCATACATACAAACACACACACACACACCTGCAAATCGGCCAAAAACACAGGCAAGTCTACGCCCACATACACACGCACATTCACCACTGTCTCTCATCCATGTGCATGCAAGCAAATGCTGACCACTGCTTTCTGTCCTCTCTCCATCTCCCTCTATCTACAGGTCTGCAGTCATCACAGTCCACCATCACTCCGTCAGCCAGTGACACCAGTCAGCCCACTCCGTCTCACCAGCCCACATCCACGCCACTCCTCCTCCTCCACACCACAACCACACCACCAACACCCGGACTATCCGAGTCGCCCACAACTCCAACCACAACACTCACCAC